CAGGCCATGCTGGGGGGAGACTGGGCCAGGGCACAGCATCCTTGGCTGCTGAAATCACCCTGCAGGGTGGAAGGAGCTGAGGAGGGTTGGTCCTGCTGGGAGGACGGTTGTGCTGCTGCCCCTTCAGCTGGTCCTTCCAAGCCAGGGCACGTTTCCAAACAGCTCCCCGGGATTTGTGGAGGTGGCCAGCGGGACCAGCAAGGCCTTGTGCACCCCCAGTTGTTTCAAGGGACTGTTTGTGCCTTCCCAGCATCACAGCCCTGCCAGCATCTCTCCGAGCACTCATATTTCCAACCCCCGAGACGCCTGGCACCCGTCCGCCAACCTCCACCCTGGCCACACTACGCTGCATCCCCTAACGACCACATCCCGCTCTCCCAATTAGCAGAGGCATCCTCTGGTGACAGCAGCCTGAAAAGCCCAGCGAGGACTGAGGTTTGCCAGGTCAATCTGGCTTCGAGGACGTCGAAGCGGAGCTGTCGGTGGCTTGGCAGAGAGCGTGCCCGTGGAAAGCGCAGGCAGCAGGGGCAGGGGTCGGTGCTAGGTGGGAAACAAAGGCCCTGCTGGAAAGGAGCTGGTCTTTTCGCGTGTTTTAAGCACAATTCAAGTACCAAGCCCCCTCCAGACAAAAGGCTTGCAATCAGAGCTGAGCACAGAAATCCAATCCCAAGGGTGAAGAGAGAACCTGGCCTTGCTTAATTCAACGCGCCAGCACTTTACTTGTCAGTCTTGAGGCTTGACACACCTCAGTTTTCTTCCTCGCTTGCTCCTCAGGGTTTGCTGAACAGGGGCAAATCACCTGCAAAAAGCCTCCAAGCGTTTGTCTCTCCTGAGCCCCTGCCCCCATCTGGGTCCCAAAGCACAGGAGCCAGGCAGGGAAAGTTTGAAATGTCAAGTGATCTCAAAATCTTCTGTTCCAGAGTGGGAAGAACGGAGCGCAGAGCTCTGCAACCCAGCGCCTGGGAAAACTCCAGTTCAGCAGAGGTTCTCGGGCTTGTGACCTGGCTCCGAAGCTCTCCTCTATGCAAAACCCAATGTTCCAGTTTCTCAGCAGGGGCCAGAGCATCCCTGTTTTTCCTGTGCTGAGACGAGGGCCAGGAGACTACGCAGACCTGTATTTTTCTCACCTGTTTTGCAGGGCAGACTGGTTCCTTCTGGACAGCCGGACGGTTCGCCACGCTGCCATCGGCTTGTTCTGCTGCGGGGTCTCAGTCTACCTCACAGGCAAGTGCTCATTTCCCACCAGGGCAGCCCAGCAGGGACCGTGCATTTTCAGCCCAGACCATACCTCCTGCACTGCTTGCTGGGTGCCTGTCAGCTGCTGAGTTTCCACTTCGGCATCGTGTTTGTTTTGCAAATGGCTTTGCCACCTCATTCCTGTAGTGCGAACTTTCTGTTCTCGGTGACCAGCCCTCACGAGGGCTCCTCCGGCCTGAATTTTGCAGGTCAGATGCATCACTTTGGTCCTTCTGGTTCCTCAAGATCTTCTGCGCTCTCCTTTCCTTCCAGCTCTCGCCATCTACATGCTGCTGCTGTTTGAACTGGAGGCGGGCATCGCCAGCGCCTGCATTCTCTCCTCCGGCATCATCGTCCTGCTGATCACGGTGACGCACGCCCTGGTACGAGCTTCCCAGGTTTCACGCCGCAGCCGCTCTGAAGTCTCTCACACCCTGTACGAGAACGACTCTGCCCAGCACGGCGAATCCTCCACCAGCGATCTCAACAACAAGAACGTGGCTGCGCCCCGGCCCCGGCCTGAGATCCACCGGGAATTTTCCTTTCCTCCTTTCCTGGAGCGCAAATCCCAGTTGGGTTCTCCGGCCAGCAGCAACCTCACCTCCTCGGGCAGCCCCGGGCTTCGCTCCGAGAAGGAGAGTTACAACCTGCCCCGAACACACAGGACGCTGTCGGCAGAGTCCGGCCTGCTGCAGGCACAGGGCAAGCCCTGGAACGGCATCACGCAGGAGATGAGGAACGTGATGTCACGCAAACCCGGAGCCTCGGGCAAGGACTCGACTCTGGTGTGAGTGGAAGTGGGATCTTCTCGCCCCGTCTTGTCCCGGGGGAGCTGCAGGCACTGGGCCCAAGATTTGCATTTCTGTTTAGAGCTTAATATACGTCCCCTCTCACCAGAGCAGGGCGATGGCTGCTTTTCCACCCTCCCGTCTGGGGGTCTGTGCAGCCGCTGCCTGATGCTCGTTGCTTCTTTTACTGAGAAGATGCCATCTCCACTCAAAGCCAAAAGCCCTCGGCCACCTGCCCCTCCTGCTACCTGTGATGCTGCTGGCACTTGCCACCTCACGAACAAGGACCACGTTGGCAGGGCAGCGGCTGGCAGCGACCTGTGCAGGACCCCCACGACTGCTCCAACTGCAGGGATGGAAGTGGAACACCTGGGTGAGAAGAAGCAAGCGGACCTTATCCACGAGCGGATCTTATCCATGAACAGACCGAGCCTCCTTCTCCAGCAGATGCCAGCCAATTTCTCTGGCTGCCTGCACCTCCCTGCCCTTCCCCTGCCTCCTTCCATCCTCTTCCATCCCCAGAAGCCAGCACTACGCCGAGACAGTTCATACAACCAACCCAGCAGGGCTTTGCCACAGCGTGCAGGCAGGCAGGTCTAAGAAACCGAGGGAGGTGGCGGAGGAGCAAGTGAGATGGAACGAGACAAGCCTGCAAGCTGCAGAGGGTGGGTTTGGGGTGGCAGAGAGCAGGTTTGGGGTGGCAGAGATCCTGCTGCTTGGTGCCGAGCACGTCCTCCCTCTGAGCAGAACACAGCTTGCTAAGCAGGGTCACTTAACAGCTCTTGGCAGGGAGGCGGTTGTGCTAGAGCAGCCCCAGTGCCCTGGCTTTGCTCCGTGGTGGAGGGACCTCTCTGGGGATTACCTGGGTGCCACTAGAACAGTGCCGATTTGTCGAGGCCAGGGTCCAGGAAGGGGTTTGCGTTGGCACTGCCAGTCCTCTGCTGCGCGCAGGGCAGAAAGCACAAGTACTAAAGGCAGCAGCTGTTTCTGTGAAACACGAGCAGGCTCAGCTCGCTCTGTCCCTGCGCTGACAAACACCTTGCTGGTTACTCACAGCCCCACGCTCTGCCAGCCCTGCCCAGGCCCAGAGCAGAAGCACGCTTGGTTCTTCCCCGATTCCTTATCATTCAGCAACCAGTAAAGCAGTTCAGGGAGTGATGGGAAGCCACCAGTTCAAACAGATTCCTTCTCACCTCCTGTGCTATTACCCCAAAAGACACCTATTATCCTGAGCACAATGCAATTTCTTTGGAAACTGAGTTTAGCACTGCTTTGATCCCTGCATCCTTGGTAAATTCTTCAGCAGAACAGAACTGGTCGTTCCAGGAGAGATTAACATTGAAGTTGCATCCTTTTTAAAGTGACCTCCAAAGTTATGCGTACAGCTCTGCTTCCCACTGCTTGACAGGGGATGAAGAAAGTCCTTTTTTTGGTGTGGGTTTTTTTTTGGTTTTGTTTTTTTTGGTTTTTTTTTGAAGAACAGGACAGTTTCTTTTGTCACTTGAAAGGCTCCAACTCTGCATGTCTTTGTTTTGCTCCATGCCCTTTGAAACACGTAGAGCCAGCAGGCTCCAAGACCCCCCAGCCCGAGGCGAGCAACAGGGGAAAGTTTTAGACAGAACTTTGGTTTTTTTTCTTTTTATTATTGTTCTCACTAAAACCAAATTCAGCAACTCCTTGGCACACACGTGAAAAACTCTCCTCAGAGAATGCCTCCTGAACAAAGCTGAAGTGTGCCTACATTACGTCTTTACACAGCCATCTACAAAATACTGAAAGCAAGACCCAGTTTTCTGAGATATTTCTGTGGCCAAGAGGTAGAAAGAAAAACGCCTCGTAGCAGCCTGCCATCAAAAAGAACTGGAAAGGACCAAATGCAGAACCACCCCATTTCCCTTTTGCAGAGTGCTGTGGAAAGGGACACAACTGCTCCCCAAAGCACCCCCCCAAAGGCAGTCCTGACCCCAGCCTGCTCAGGTGCAGCACCTTGTTACTGGGAACAGAGATGCAGGCAGAGGCCTCTGTGCAGCTTCACAGATTGAGCGGGTGGTTTCTCACTCCTCCCCGTGGTTGGAGAACATAGAGCTGGGCTGGAGAACGCAGCAGAGGACGGCCACTCTTGTCTGAAATCAGGAACTGGCTGGAGGATTCTTGCCTTGTGGGGCAACAGTGCTGTAAAAAGAAAGAGACAGTCACGTCCGGCAGGCAGGCAGGGCACCCGCAGCCAGAAGAATGTGGAGAACCAGGGGCTGCCTCGAATAAAACCTCACTGCTTGCAGCAGAGCAGCTTAGACAAGCACCTTTCAGTGCGCTGTGCAGACTATGGAGCGGCATACACCAGCCCCTGTGGCTGTCGAGACAGCAATCTTTGCAGCCACACCACTGCCAAGGTCACTAAAAATGCTCTGGGCTGCACAGAGTGTGACCCTGCCATGCGGGCAACTGGGAAAAATAAGGAACCTGAACCAGAAGTGTCTAAGAGTCATTCTGCAGAGACAGAGGCTCTCTGTTTGCTGTGGTGGTTTTGTCAGGGATCGGCATTTGGGAATTTTCTCACTCCTACTCAGTCAAGACTCCAACACCAACACCGTTCTCAGGAGAGACAAATACCCTAGACTCAGACGATCTGCTGGAAGATATTTTAGTAGCTGTAGTTCAACTGCAAACATACAAAAACGCATCGTCGTTCTGCCACCACTTATCTCTATGGGACTCTGCCCCAAAAGAGCCACACACGTGACAGAGAGCAGCACCAAACGCAGCCTCTCACCTCCTCCATCTCAGTAGCATCATCTCCCTCCAAATGCCTTTGACACAACAAAGATTTAACGTATTACACAACCATGCATCCCTTTTTAAACAATGAAATAAATTATTTGCCAGTTACCCTTTTGTAAACAAGATTATTTGCTTCCCGGTAAACAAAGCCAGAAGATCACTGGAAGGCAAGCAGCATGCTCTTTCAAATAATAGTCTAGAAGTCTGTTACTGAGAGAACTGCTTGGCATATTTGCACTGGGTTGCATTACATCACCAAAGCCTCTGCCAGCCAGAACGGTCACTCAGATCAACGGGCAGTGTCACACCCCCGGGCTACCTGCGGCCCTGAGCAGCGTTCAGCTGATCCTTCATGGCTATGGCATGTTTGAGCAGACTGTCAATGCTCTTGAAGTACACGCTGCTGTCAGTCATGTTCTTTATGGCACTGAAAGAAGAGAAGAGGGGGGTGGAGGGAAATGGAGGACTGGTTAGTATTTCCAAAGTGGTTTCCTTCGTGGTTTTAGAGCACACACCCCCTGACAGAGAGGACTGCTAATGAGAAACCTCAACTTTATGCATTTTCACACACTAGCTAGCTGGTGGGTGGATTTACCGCAGGAGATTGGCAGGTCTGCTCCGCACACAGAACTCGGGAAGAGCTGGCGTGCTCATCAAAGCGAAGCCCCCGAGATTCGTGGTAACGGTTCAGAGAGCACTGCCTCACACCCCCACCCCAACTACGCTCTCTCCCTGGCTTACACCAGGGAGACGTCAGGGAAGCACAGGCGGCTTCTGCTTTGTTTCTACCACAACACCTCAGCCTACGAACACAACCCTCCTGCTTGGAGGAGTCTCTTGTACCTGCAGGCATACTCCACTGTGTAGATGGCTCCTTGGCTTTGCTCCTCCCAGCTCTGCATGTCGGACTGAAAGAGAAGAGAAGGCGGCATCGTTGGGTGCCACTGGACAGACGCAGCGGCGCAGCCCGCAGGAATACGCTCTGCCAGCCCTCCTGGGTCGGTTGTATGAACCGTCTCGGTGTAGTGCTGGCTCCTGGGCACGGAGGAGGAAAGAGGGAGGCAGAGGAAGGGCAGGGAGGTGCAGACAGCCGGAGAAATCGGCTGGGATCTGCTGGAGAAGGAGGCTCGATCTACTTGGACAAGGTCCACTTGCTTCTTCTCACCCACATGTTCCACTTCCTCCCCTGCTGCTTTCCCTGGAAATTGCGTTTGGATTCTGTCTCCCGCTTGACAGCCTGTGACATGCTCTGGGCTCCGGGTGCCACGCACTGGCATTTAGAAGAAACATTTATTGTGTGTATTTCTGAAAGGGCTTCTTGATCAGGCCAACGCTTTGGATGCTCTGGCAAAATTCCCCTTGGATTTAGATGTTTTAGCCCACGAGCCAGCTGAGCGCCACGGTCAGTGGGGCTGCTAGCAACGAGTGACTGCGCTGACTGCAAGAGACCAGCTGGATGTTTCGGAGTACTCGGATCTCCCGGTGTGTCTGGCCCAGCAGGCAGCCATGATCTGAACTAACACTGCTCCTGCAGAGTCCGGTCTGTAGTCCTTCATGCAAAACCAGGTAAAAGTTTCTTTCACAGCAATGGAAGTTCTCGTTTCATTAGACCTGCCATTCATAAACGTTTTCACAGCCGCAAGCATCCCTGTCCTCCAGCCTGCTCTAGCATTTGATCCCAAGCCGCAGTCCACGCTGTGCCCTTCCTTCCATCAGCCTGGAAGGAGCCCTGTAAACTTCACACAAACCCAAGCAGCACTGCAGGTGACATAATTGTACGCTGTAGCTCCAAGGAAAGGGAAAACCAAACAAATACACAAATCACAATGAAAGCGCAGCTGAATTCAGAGGTGTAGCTCAATAGATAACTATTTCAAAAGTCCTTAAGTAGTTCAGGCACTCTTTAAAATACGTTCTCATGGGAGCTAATTCTCCTGTCTATTCTGCCAGGTCTAGTTACAAGCCAGAGGAAATCCAAGGGCCTCTTTCTGTGAGTGAAGGAGGTCGGGTAGGAGCTTGGACTTTGTCCAAAATCACTTCTGCTGTTCAAAGCCTGTCCTACATCAGGACGCTCGACCACATAGCTTTAAACTACAAAAGAAACAAGCCTCTACATGCAACGCCCTAGCCACTTCTCTGCAGGAGAGGCTCCTTCGACCCAGGGCTTACAACCCCGCAGAGACTACACTCATCCCAGAGTCCAAACGTGTTTTACACGACTTTCT